TGTCCAGCATTCTGCACCACACATTGCTTTAGTTACTTTGACGTCTTGCCTGTCTCTTTGCCTGACGATAACGTAGTCTAGTAGGTGTCAGTGCTTTGAGCGGGGATGCATCCATCTTATCTTATTCCGGTTTGAAAGGCGTTGAAAAATGGTGTTGGTGATTAGAAGCTGATGTGTGGTGCAGATTTTGAGTAACAGTATACCATTACTGTTGCAGCTGCCAATGCCATTGTTCTCTAGGACTCCTTCCCATGATGCATGAACATTGCCGACCCTGGCATTGAAGTCACCAAGAATAATGAGTTTGTCTGTTCTGGGAACGGCTAATATAGCCGCTTTCAAGTCTAGGTAAAAGCTTTCCTTGACCTCATTGGAGTTAGTCATGGTGGGGGCGTAGGCGCTGATGAGCGTGACAAAGCACTTCCTAGGGAGTGGCAGTTGGACTGTCATCAGGCAATCGCGGATTCCTTTGGGAGGTGCAGCCAGCTTGTTGATCAAATTGGTTTTAATGGCGAATCCAACGCCTGCCACACGGCACTCTTCTTGCTTGCGTCCGATCCAGTAGAAAGTGTATCCAGCGTGCACTTCCAACAACTGTCCTTCTTCAGCATAGCGAGTCTCACTGAGAGCAGCTATCTGCACTTTGTATCTGTCCAACTCTGTGGCAATAAGGGCAGTCCTCCTCTCTGATCTGTTGGTCCCAACACGGTCCAACAATGTGCGCACATTCCATGTGCCTGTGATGAGTGGTGTCATCTTGGTTGTTTTTCTTTCTTTCTTACCGCTTTAATGGGTTCCCCGCATGCCACCTCTACCTTGGCATCCTGAGCCGCCATGCATGCAGAATTGTGACTACGACTGCCAGTGCGACCACACCTGTCGCTTCGCCATACACCCGTCTCCGCAGGACTTGAGGGAATGATAGTGTGAAGTCATGACTTGCGCATGAATTGGATTATAGTGATAATGTGATTATAATGAATTGAATGTTAATATACCAACCCATTGAAGTACTGAAATCTGTTTTGTACCTTTGTAATACACTGATAACCACCAAATGCAGATGGTGATGAGAAAGTCACATGATGAACCAGAGCCCATCACAAGCAGCTTTTAAACATTAACATATATACAAGGTGCACAGTGTCATTCACACAAACACTAAACACCATCATGGTAACACACATGAAACTGAAATAATGCAATAAACATTCATTTAACAACATTAGGTGTAACATACAACCCTAATATACAAAACTGATAAGGAAAAACTAAGAAGAAACATAGTTATTTCAACAAAAAAAACATCAAATTTGAAATGTAACACAGGGTATTCTGGGAATGTCAATGTACGGTCATTCACTGTAAATTATACAGTCTTTTTCACTTCCAAAAATGGTATACTACCGTTAAATGACATGTAATGTAATTTAGGGGAAATTACATAGTAGGGGAATTTACCGTTAACCATTTAAAAGGTTTTTATTGTAGCATTTTTACAGTCTTTTACCGTTAAATTCACAGTAATTTTTTTACAGTGTAGGGCTCTATAGTCATCAAAGGATACACCGCAAATGAGGAGGAATGTCATCATCGGACACGATGGACTACCAAGAAGAGAAGTGTTGTAGTACTCAAGACCAGTCTTGATCTTGAGACCGGTCTTAAGACCATTTTTTGAAGGTCTTGGTCTTGTTTCGGTTTCGACTACATTTGTACTCGGTCTTGTCTTGGGATTTTGTTTCAAGACTGATCAAGACCCCAAGAGGATATCACTAAATTGCCAGTGCATTGTCTGATTTATTTGTTAACATCATTAATGTGACTGGATGTAAAACGTCCTGCATTAAATGCAATCAATAACTAATTAAATAACTAAATAACAATAATAAATAATTTGATTTATACCAGTGGATCTCAATTTTTTTTACTTTAAGACCCCCTGTTGTCCACAACCATATTTAAAGGCCCCCTCCACTCACCCAAAATATTTTAGAGCTTAGTATGACTAGAAAGATGTATATTCATTATAAAAAAAAATAACCAAATACTGAGAAATATCTTGAATTTTTAGTTGTTTTATTTTAATGCTTGTTTTGTCTTATTTTAAATAATTTTAAGTGATCTTGAGGCCCCCTTGGAAGTCTGTTGAGGGCCCCAGGCTGAGAACCACTCATTTATACTGTTATGCCTGGTCAGAAATGAATGAGGGGTTGTGTCAAAAATGTCACCAAAATGAATACAAATACCCACAAAATTCAAGTTATTATTGCAAAAAATTATTTGTTTGAGATCTGTATTTTTATATTATAACTTATAATTAAGCGATATCAAAAGAGCAAGAGCAATTCTCAACATTATTTATGCATTTGTAATTGTATTCAGATGCAGTTTCTGTGCTACCACTGCAGAGCAAATATGAATTTTGTTGTTAGTGATTTAATTTGATTGGTAACAGCTCTATATAGTGTCTAACTATTCTAATTGTATTTAATGATTTAAAATAAGACATTTCTCGGGCAGTAAATGTGGATCTTTCAGAAGAATTTGAATAGTGCTGGTCTGATCTTGGTCTCAACCCCTCAAAGTCTTGGTCTTGTCTTGGTCTCAACACACATTGGTCTTGGTCTCGGATTAGGTGGTCTTGACTACAACACTACTGGCAGGAACTGTTTCCGGCTGATGTTCCTCTCCCGGGAGCTCCTGTGAAGGACAGCCCTGACTCTTGTCTCAAATGCATCTGTTTGGAGAGAAAGAAAGGCTAAAAGAAGCATGAAACACGGGCCCTGAGCAGAATTGAGGAGTGAAGCCTTAACCCTGCTAACATTATGAAAGCAAATACTACTGGTGCTTTGTGGAGGAGTGGGGTGATCTCTTGCACAGCTTGTACATTTGCTTCATGATGAGTCGCATATCATCATTTCAAGGTTTGCAAACCAAATAGGAGCATATAGATGGACATTTTCAAGTTATCACATTTTTGAGGTACTGAACCACTTGTGGAACGTTTGAAGGACTGCCTTCTCACGTTTATGAGAGCACAAGAAAATTAAAATAATTTTGGTAACCAAACAGTTGCTGGTAGCCATTGATTTTCATAGATGACTTTCATGACATCAACTGTTTGGTTAACAAGATTCTTCATAATATCTTCTCTTGTATTCAACAGAAGAAAGAAACTCGTACAGGTTTGGAACAATTTGAGGATGAGTAAAGGGTGACAGTGTTTTCATTTTTGGGTGAAATATCCCTCTAACGCCATCTGGTGTCACGTTTAATCAAGGCAGGATTTACAGTAAAGTGTGATGAAGCCTCTTTTCAACACAGTTCAGTTCTCATCACCGTTTTCAAAAAAGTGACTAGGAAAAAATTGACTGGGAAAACAGTTTTTTTGTATACAGTTTATTTAATAACAGCTACAAATATATTTTCATATTTTCATAACATTTTGTTGTTTGTTTGTTATTTGTTTATTTATATTTGTTGAAGTTCCCTTAAACACCATTAAATATAATATGCAATTTATTACAAGTTCCCACTTTAAAAAAAAAAGTATATCATAAAATGTGACAACATGCCCTGCTATTGGGGCATAATATTAGCAAAGGTAATAATAACCTTTGGTCAGAGTACTATATCTTTCCAATATTGATTGGACTGTTAAAAAGCTTTTTTGGTAGTCAAGACTTTAACTAAGGTTTGTGTATGTACAAAAATTGAATAATAAATAAATAAATAAATAAATCTGGAGTACAAAAAGTTTTGACAAGTCTCCTGTTTATAAATTATGTGGAAGTTATAACTTTGCATAAAATATCTCATACTATTTAGCCTTTACTTTAATGTGTGAATTGCGTATCTGTTTCTGTCCCAATTCTTTATTTACTGCATCAGGTTTCCTTTACAAGATGATTAAATATTATACCAATAAAATGAAAAATAAATGCTAATAAATCACACCTGAGCAGTAAATGCACGTCAGACATCAGAAGCTCGTACCAGGAAGAGACAGTCTTATAATGTCACTCTTATGTCACACTGAGTTTTTTCTCAAGTCCTGGACAAAAGCATGAGGAAATGAAGAGTAAAACCTTTCAAAAAGTATTTGAGAACTTTATTTGTCAACGGACTCAGAATAGAGCAGACAGCACAGCTTTTACATTTTTTTTTTAAAACCATCATTCAGAAAGTGAAAGTACAGTTTTGATCGACTGAGCTCTTTCTAATCCAACATGGATTCACTGTCTGTGGAAGAACTGTCCTGTCCCGTGTGCTTTGAAATCTTCAAGGTTCCCATTCTTCTGTCCTGTAGTCACCAGTGTCTGTGAAGCGTGTTTGAACATTTCTGTAAATGCAAAAACACTCAGGAGTGTCCTGTCTGCAGGAGAAGATCCTCAAAACAGGAACCACCATATAATCTTGCTTTAAAAAATGTATGCGAGTCATTCCTGAGGGACAGAAGAGAGAGCTCATCTGAGGACGTCTGCAGTTCTCACAGAGAGAAACTCAAGCTCTTCTGTCTGAAGGACAAAGAGCCTGTGTGCTTAGTGTGCAGAGATTCACAGAAACATGCTAATCACACATTTCAGCTATCAGTGAAGTTGTTCCATCTTACAAGGTAGGACAACATGTTCTTCTTTCATCTACGCAAGGAGCAATAAATACTATTTACTTGTGGTGTTCAGTACCATTGCGCTTACTGAGTGACACTATGCATAAGAACTTGCCTGTATCACATATTCAAATCTCACAGCTCACTGAATTTCACATACTTCTATTTGTTAAATTCTAGGAGGAACTTAAAACAGCACTGAAGTCCTTACGAGAAAAACTTGAATACAGAGAAGAGATTAAAGGAGAGTGCAATAAAACTGTTCAACACATCAAGGTAAAGATTCTGAACTTTTTTTTGCTTGATTAAAATTGACATTATTACAAAAAGTGTCCTTTTTAAAAGTGTACTTAAGAAACAGTCATGAAAGTGCCTCTCTTTAAGTACACTTAAGAGGCCTTTTATTTCAATAATATATTAGTTGCAAGTATTACTTTTTTTAAAATAGGTTTTAAGTACATGCAATACAATGAAGCACACTTCTTTTTTCACAAGGCACAGCTGATCACTGACTTGGATATCATGGAAATGCAGTCATCCGTTGTGTGTTAATGCAGAGCTGATTGAAGTGAATGTGATGTGATTTCAGACTCAAGCTGAGCACACAGAGCGTCAGATTAAACAGCAGTTTAAGAAGCTGCATCAGTTTCTCAGAGATGAAGAACAAGCTACGATATCTGCACTGAGAGAGGAAGAGGAGCAGAAGAAGCAGATGATGAAGGAGAAGCTGGAGGAGATGAACAGACACATCTCAGCTCTTTCACACACCATCAGAGACATCGAGGAAAGAATGAAAGCCAATGATGTCTCGTTCTAAAGGTGACCGTCAAACTCTGTGTGAGATTCATTCATTCACACACACACTTATTGAGATAATAATGTTTATTTTCCAGAACTTTAATGTCACAAAGGAAAGGTAAGCGAGCTGCTCCTGTTTCTCCTCTCTACACTGTATGAAGAACAAAAAGCACCATTTTATTTCAGAAGAACCCATTTGGAGAACCTCTAGGAACCTTTTCAGGGTTTCTCAAATGTCTTATTGTGTACTCAAGGAAGTTCAGTATATATTTCAAATGCCTCAAAGCAATTTCTTTTATGGTGGGGTTACTTGAGGAACTGGTAACAGTCTGGAGAGTTTTCGCAG